CACAAACCTGGTTTCCCGATGCGACCTATTGTTTCTTTCTGTGGCTCTCCCACATACCAACTATCCAAGTACCTGACGACAATACTACAACCGCTAACCGACAAATCCAGACATAAACTACAATCCACTGTGACGTCACCAAAACGTATTTCTTCGGTGTCGATATGGGAGGCTATTGAGGGGAGCATGGGATCTTGTTCATTAATTAAGAACAAGTGAATAAGACACTGCAATGTTATCTATTTGACATAGTTTATTGATAAAAATTAAGTATATAAGCAATTTTCATTTCTCTTCTAATCAACAGGAACGTCTAAAACTTAAAAGACATAAAAAATCGTAAAATTTTAATAAAATTAAAGCTTGTTTCTTTTTTATACTCCGGTACAAGCTCTACAGCACTTATCTTGCAGGGTTTATTTACAACTGCTTTCTATATATAATTTTTCTCATCCAGAATAAAACCTAGGAAGCAATTAAAAGACAAATGTTCAATTCAGTTCTCAAATGATTGAAATTGTGGATTACTAACAAACAACCCTATACATTTGATTATGTTGGTAATATGGAGTATCATAATCTAAATACTAGGGACTTTAAGCAAACCACGACGGCTACGGCAACGAGATCGTGGAAAAACAATAGATCTAATTGGCAGAACAAAAGCCCAGCACGTGCGTTTTGAGACTTTGTACATTTCGTAGCCGTCCTTTGCAAAACAACAACGTGAAATCACCAAAATTTGCGTCGTCTGCGAAACGAAACCGCGGCGACAAATTATTTTAATTTACATTTGGAACTCCACGCTACTTTTGTCCGTTATGTTGAGTTTGAGATCTGGCGCCCTATGAGACGGTAAACACATGCAGCCATTTTCGAAATTCTAACTAAAAGTAGAAACTCGTTTTTTAATCGACGTCTTCCGTAGCGTTGCCGTCCTGACTGCTTAAAGTCCCTACTGACAAAAATTTCAACCAAGGAGAGTACAGCAGTTTGTTTGACCATGCACACACT